AGCATGAATTAGCCTGCAAATTTAACAGAACAACTTCATGCAATAGTTCAAAAGGAAAATTTATTATTATTCAATCACTTTGGATGAATCAACTGATACTACTGACCAGGCATAGCCTTTATATGTCATTCAGAAGATTTTCTTTGCTATGAAGCATTATTCCCTCTGGGCACTCCTGTGAACAGAACATGGGGAATGAATATCTTCAAAAGCTTTCAAGATAAATGTTACGAAGTTGGCCTGACTTTGGTAACTTAGTGAGTGTAGGTACAGACAGTGCACCTTCCATGACAGGAAAACATGAAGGGTTTATTGCACAGATAAAAGAAGTATTTACAGATCTAGATGCTCTCACTTCTTTCCCTTGTATCTTGCATCAGGAAAATCTCTGTGCTACTATTGTGACAAGTTATAGGTTATCGGCTATGTTTATGCCAATGTTAACATGCTAACGTTGAACGAGGAGGTGCTCAGTGTGGATTTCTCATATCATTCTACACTGCATTGGCTATCTCAGGGACAGGTGTTAGCCTAAATTTTATCTCGGTGAGAACAGATAGCTAAATTTTATGAAGAACAGAATCAGCAAAGTGAATTACTGAAAGAAGATTTCTATAGGAATGCATTTCTGTGTGATCTTATGTCAAAGCAAAACAACTTGGATATTTATTTCCAAGTTAAAACTAAGTCTATATATGATATGTGGCAAAAAATCCAAGTATTTTGAAAAAAAGCTATCTTTTTCAAAAGACGTCATCTTCAAAAAGAAATTTCATAGGCAGATTCTCCCCAGTCAGCAAAGGTCATCAATGAGCAGGATGATGGATGTGAATTATCTGAAGAACACACAGCTGTTATAGACCTGTGAACTGGAGAATACAATGAAAGATTCACTGCCTTTGAGAACCACGACATCACATTCAAGTTCGCGTTTCAGCCTCATCTAGTTGACATCATTGCCAAAGGCACTTAAAGAACTACGGATGAAACTGATTGAGATCTTAGTAGAATGACATTTTAAAGTCATGGAAAAATGCAGTAGAATGCCCATGCATTCTGCAACCCACCCAAAAAATGCTTTCTTGCTTTTTAACTACTTATTGTTGCAAATCTACATTCTCCTCCCTAACCCAGATCAAGGTGCCCTTAAGGTCACCAGTGACTGATACACATCTAGAGGATCAACTCGAACTGCTGCCCTCCATGCTGCAACCAAATATCCAGATGCTTCCAACAAAAAGCCGACACAACAGAGTCATTACAAGATTGGTTAACTTTAAAATTAACAAACAGTTTTAATTTTTGAAATTGTTAAGTGCACAGTAGTTAGACTTTTACAAATTAATATACATTTTAAAGTATATCTAATTGAAGTTTTTTGAATACGGCCTTATTTGATTATAGATAAATTAACATGGCCTTCCAGCAAGAAAAGGTTCCTCACCCTGCCATTGGCAGTGTAAGCATAGAAATGGTATGATTGATTTGTAATTTAAATAATAACTGGATGAAATCGAGAGAATGGACATTAGGTAGTGGAAGTAGGTTACCCCTCTAGAAGTATCTGCGGCAGTCTGAGTGGGGTACGATGAAGACCAAGGCTCGGGCTATGGCTTAGTGAAGATGAAAAGTGGTCACATTCAGATTATAATTTGGAGGATGCAAGGTAAACAAATCAAGGGTGAAGTACAGGTTTTAACAAACAATTGCTGAATGGTAGTGCCACTTAATAAGATGAAGGAGCCTTGTAAGGGTTCTTTTTTTGTTTCACTGAATGAGAGAATCAACCAACAGCTTGATTTGCAGAGGTGGAAATGTGGGAATGAGGGATGACTCAAGTGAGACGTGGAAAAGTTATTAGGGTTCCTCCATGCTAAACAGGAAGTACTTCCACCAAAATGACATCATCTGCAAGGAGCAACTATGCTTTTATGGTGCAAAAAATTGCATCTAGGATGCAGTGAAAATTCAGGAATGGAGTGGAACGTGGAGAGAAGGTAGCAGACTAGAGAGTAGTAAAAGGCACATCTTTCGGCGTGTCACTCTAGCCCACAAGCAACAATTGTCCTTTTCCCTCAGAAAGACACTGGCCCAGTCCTGGCCAGCACCACTCGCACCTGCCCACCACTGATTAGATTAGAAAATGACGCCTGACTCCAGTGGGACCAAATGTAGCTCCTGGCCTGAAATCTGAAATTGAGATCCACTGATATTTGTGTCCGTTTTGAGTAAGATTCCAGTTTTTACTGTAACATGCTAACGCAAGAATGTTAAGTGGACCATCTGTCACTTTGTGAGTCTGAGAAGTAGAAAAGTTGGTTGGAAGGGAGCAACAGGAATCAGGTGAGGACAAAAGCTGCAGTGAGGGGAGGCAGGAGGGCTGACCACTGGCCAGGCTGCCTGCTGGGCGCCTGCCCAGACTGCAGCCTGCCAGCACATCCCTCTGAGGGCGTGCACCCTGGCACGTGCACCAAGGGCAAATGAGAAGCTCTCACAACAACCATATTGAAGATCACCCCATTTAGAAATAATGTCTTGTCAGTAGAACAGCATGGGAGGGGCGTGTGGCAGCCTGAGGGACCCATGTCCCTCCCCCCTCACTGTCACATCCCCACTCACTGTCTCACTTGGCATCAGTGCATAATGTGCCACTGTCCCAGAAAGGAAAAACAAAATCTGACAGACAACAGAATGTCACATAACTAGAAACATGAAAAGGGCATGAATTCAGCTGGGTGCATTGCAAACACACATACACAGTGTGCTGACATTCTAACTATACACACACATGCATACTAAATTCTCAGCACACGTCTTTGTAAAACTTTTTAATAGTAAAATACGCATACAGAAAAGTACATATATGTGTACTGAATGTTCACAGACTGAACTTATCTATGCAATTAGTGCCCGGGTCAAGGAACACAACATTAACCGCCTGTTTCTGATTTTATCACCTACTTGGGATATAGGTATTTTTGGATACATTTACAACATGCAATAAATCTTTAAATGCATATGTGAAGTTGCTTATCCTTTTTTCCCTCTTTTTTTGAGCATTGCTGTGACTTCTATACATTAGCTCATTTGATCTTTTCCACGACCTTGTTAGGTTGATTGCTATGCATATTTTATAAGAAGAAAACAAGGCTTAGAAGTGTTTGGTATTATGTTCAAGTTCACACAGCTAGAAACTGAACCCACCCTGTCTGATTCCCAAAGTACTCTTAACTGCTGTCCCAGCTGCCGGATTTGGGTAAAGTGATAGCAGGACACTGCCAGCAAGTTTGACTAGAGAATCTACAGCATATACTAATAAGAAATTCAGTCTTAAAATGGTTATTTAAGGAAGGCATGAGATTGCCATTATTGAACTCAGAAGTGACAAAATAAAAATAGTGATTATAAGAGACGATTCTACTTTTATATTTAAGAATGAGAACTGGAAGCAACTAGAGTAATTTTTTTCTTTTTTTGCTTATTTTGAAAATATGCCAGAAACAGCATGAGGGGGAACAGAATTAAGTTCATGGAGATGTGAAGAAAGATTCAAATGAATTTGGAAAGGTAGATGTGAGGAGAGAAGGAAATGGAAAAGTTGGAACTTGTTCCCAAGTTTGCAAGCCTCGGAAACCAGAAATAGTAAATATACTGTGCATGATGGAAATTCTGGAACGTGGTGGTGATTTAGGATGCAGTGAGAAGATGAATTTGATATTCACATACTCAGGAGTGGGGCTGCAGAGCAAAATTCTGTGGCATATTCTCTAGGTTTTATTCATCCCTGTTTCAAACTTTTTATTCCTTATCGTAACAGAAAGACCAAAACATTTTTATAGCAAGGAATAATTTGTAAGGGACACCCTTTAAAACCTATTGAACTTGGTGTTGATACCTTAATATTGTATTTGGTTAGACCACAGACCAGCTCTTTCTAGCAGCCCCATGCAACGATTGTGAAGGTTGTGTTTCCTTTTCTTCGTTGGTATATAAGCTACTTAGACATCAGGTTCTGTCCTCCTTCCCTCCCTTCTTCCCTACCTTCCCTTCCTTTCTCCTTTCCTTTCTGCTTTTTCTGTGGGCAAAATTCGCAGGACTGTGATTGGGTCACTGTGGCTGATTTCTTGAGATATTAAAAATGCTTTTAGTTAGATAACTAACTCTGAATAATAGACTATGTCCTAATTATGGACGTTATTTATAGATTTGTCTCTTTAACTAATCCTGATAAATATCTCCCCTTGGCCCTGTCCTGATTATTCAGAGAATAGTTTGTTCAGGCTTTCTATTCAATAAATGAATCACCAAAGTGTCCCTGCATGTATCAGACATCCTCAAATATACAGGAAGGTTTTAACCAGTAAAGTCTCATTTACGTAGGCAAATATTTCCCAGAGAATGCAATCCAAATAAGCTTCTTAAAATTATATGTATTTTTTGTAAATGTGGGTGCATTTATTTCCACCATTACAAAACTTGAGTTCCAGTTTAAAATATTAACATTAATTTTTCCTTAAAAGAATACAGTTGCTGCATTTTGTTTCTTCTGATTCATTCATTTCTTATCTTGGAAGCAAAGTCAGTAATCTCTGTTCTCCACGCTCCAGACACATCACAGTCCACCTGCCTTTACTTCTCTACCAAATTAACAAAACGACTAAAACGATAAAGAAGCAAACTCAGGAAATGAGGAAGAAACAGATGAGAAACAACTAAAGGGAAGAAAGTCTGATTTGGCCTCACAATAACAAAGTGGAAATTAATTTAGCAAACTTACACGTATATATATAGGAGGACTGCATCTATTTTTCAACAGAAAATATCAATTTATTCAAAATGTTTTCTAGTAAATATTTCATGCATTTTTGTTAGTTTTGCAGTTTATCAAAGATATACAAGTCTTTTAGTTAGATAACCAACTCCAAATAATAGACTATGTCATAAAGACTAACAGACCATGTGGCAAAGACTTCACACCATTGCCATTGCCTCATACTTACAGCCACTGCCTCCAGGATTTGTTTAACAGCATCAGCAGCATCTCGCTCACTATAGTATCCCTTCTCCACAATCCTAAAAAAGTAAATAAAAAATAAAGGACACATGTACTCAGTAGAGTGGGTGTTAACAAAAAGTCATTTACATCAATGTCAAAGAAGGTGCATTTACATTGGTGCAGCAGGCTTCCATAACACCAGGACAAAGATTTCTGTAAGCCGGCACTCTGAGACTTGAGTTTACTTAGGAAAATGAAATACATTTATTTTGCCTTGGCTTTAAATGCCCATCCCATTTGAGGAAAATTGTGAATCATACATACCAAATAGACTTTACCCAACAAAACACTCTCGTGTAATTACTACAGAACTTTAACGACTACTGATTCATGGCCAGTCTTGTTTAATCTATCCGCTCGACTGCTTCCTCTCCTTGTTATTCTGGAGTAAATATCAGACATCATATCATCTCATTTCTAGACATTTAAGGAGGTATCTCTAAAAGATAAGGGCTCTTTTAATCAAAACCACAGTGTCAGTATCATTATCTGTATATTATTAGTACAATAATTCCTTAATATTATCAAGATGCAGTGTGTTGAATTTCCATTTGCTTTAGACATGTTAAGCATTGTTTGTTTGACTCAGTATCCATATAAGGTTCAGGAAACTTAATTGATCAATATATCTGTCTCCTATTCTCTTTTAACCTTCAGGGTTCCTCTCCTCTCCTCTCCTCCCTCCTTCCCCTCCTCTCTTCTCTTCTCTCTCTCCATACACACACACACACACACACACACACACACACACACGCCTTTCTTATTTTTGCAATTCTTAATTATTTTCACTTACTAGTTTTCAAAACATATGTTGATTCATCCACACCTTCCAAGCTAGTCACTTCTTTAATGTTTCCCATAGCTCAGCAACCAGATTCTATCATCTTGGTGTCTTTGAAGCCATTTCTCTGCCCTCTCTGTTTCTTATTAATGGATAGTCAGAGCCAGAAGGGTCTTGATCGGATCCAGACTGACTTTTTAGCAGGTCCACTTTATAGGTGGCATTGTGTATTTCCATGTTCAATCATTCTCCACTTTGTGTTGTTTACAGCAGCTGATAATCAATGTCTAGATCCATGAGCTCATTAGAGGTTTCAAGTGGGTAAAACCTAATTCTATCATTGCCTCTCTTATTAGCTGAAAATTTTCTAGTGTTACAATTCTTATACAAAAGATAGGATACATTCTTAATTTTTTCCCCCTTTTTGAGAAGGAGTCTCACTCTGTCGCCCTGAGTAGAGTGCCTTGGTATCATCATAGCTCACAACAACCTCAAACTCTTGGGCTTCAGAGATCCTCCTGCCTCAGCCTCCTAGGACTACAGGAGTAGATCACAATGCCCAGCTAATATTTCTGTTTTTAGTAGAGATAGGTCTTGCTCTTGCTCAGGCTGTTCTCAAACTCTTGAGCTCAAGTGGTCCTCCCACCTCGGCCTCCCAGAGTGCTAGGGTTAGAAGCAAGAGTCACTATGTCCATCCAGATAAATTCTTAATTTTTTTAACTTACTAGTTTTCAAAACATATGTTGATTCACCCACACCTTCAAACTGTGGCCAATTAGTGTCTTTGTTTGCTTTCTTGGAATCACTTTGAAATTAGAGGTTTAACTGTATTTCATGTGTTTTAAATCTACTCTAACTCTTTTTCTCATTGATACAGAGATTGTCCCCTTTGGGGTCAGTGTGGGCTTTTCAATGACTTTTGATGTCTTTGGTGGCCCCTTTTTCATCTGGTGTGACACGATTCTCCAGGCTGGTTTTGCACACTTGCTGTTCCTGACCTGGGGAACAGCCATTTCTCCAAGGAGCACTATTTCCTTCTAGCAGAAGATAGTGGTAATATTTTTTAAAATTTTTATGTTTTATCCTTCCCTAAAAAACAGATACAAATACATATATTCACACCCACTCATTTCATCAATAATCAGACTGTGTTATGCTAATATGTACATAACCGTTTTCTATAATAAATCCTTCACTATGTGGTCCACTTCATGTGCTTTCTTTTTAATTTTAATTCTTTTGCAGTTAGGAATGTATTTTTGTTTTAATGTTTTTAACATAATGCTACAATACAATAATGTCAGTCTCTTCTTTTTTGGTTGGTCTGAGGGTTCTCTACTCTTGGTGATATTGGCATTTGCAATCCCCCAAGTATGAACCAACAATGTACAATATATACAGCTATCAGAATATGATATACAGCTATCAGAACTGGGGGGAAATAAGAACACCTTTAAAAAGGAAAACTTGGTTGCAGTATAATTATTAGCAACAAATAAAGTAAAAGATTGTTACTTCAAATGAGGTGTCAGGGGTGAGGAAAGGAGGCTTGATTATCTGAGTAGGTTGCTGACTCACTTTTCTCATGATGTAAAATGTGACAGAAAACCTGATGATAACTCGCTCTTATAGCATGAATACAATCAAGGGATTTTCTTTCAATTTAAAGGTTCTGGATTGAGTTATCCAGACTTATAAAATGATCTTTCAATTTAGAGTGCTTTTTCTTTTTCCTTCTTAATTTTGGGCAAGTTTTCTTTTTTAAAATTTTTTTTTCTTTTTTTGTTAAATCATAGCTGTGTACATTAATGCAGTCATGGGGTTCGGTGTGCTGGTTTTATATATAATTTGAAATATTTTCACCAAACTGGTTAACATAGCCTTCATGGGATTTTCTTAGTTATTTTTTCTTGAAGGAGAATGCTTTGCATTTTTCTTCCATTGCTTTGGTTTTCTTTAGGGAGTCCAATTATACATTATGAGTTTTCCTACTTTTGGTTTATATTGTTCTTTCTTCTATAATTTTCTTAATTTGAGCACAATACTGTATTAAGTTGTATTTTCATCTTTGTGTGTGTGTGCGTGGGCAATTCTTCCTGATATGTTCTCACTAGCTGAAGGAATTTTATTCTGTTCCTTACTTTCTGTTCTCTTCTAATCATTCTGTATTGGATTTAACATACATACTTTTCTATGACTAATAATTGTTAGGCCAAATTGGTGCAGTTAACCTTTTGACAGAGTGACAGGTCAAGATGTCCTTTCTAGTCTCGTGGCTCTCAACTTTCTGGTTATTTTCCTAAAGTTTCCAAGAATACAGACTTATCCTTTCTGAGATATGTGTCCTCAACTGCAGAAAATCCATTCCCTTGTCTTTCCCATCTCTACACTAATTAACTTATTCTTCCCAGTTTTCCCTAAATATAAGACTCTTTCCCCGAAAGGCTTTAGATGTTAGTTTCAAGAGTTCGCAGGCCATAATTATGCATCAGCCTTTCAGACCTCTGCACAGGTGCTCCCCGCATCCCGCTCAGAAATTTAGATGGCTAAAACCTCTCCCAATTCCAGGGGCTCTTTGGTATTGACCTGTCCTTCCCAGTAACTAGGAGATGTGGGAGATTTGAGTGCTTGCCTGTCCTTGGGTTCCCATTCGCCCACTCATTTCCTTCCCTTCCTCCTGCACACTGATAACGCCAAGTGGCTCTGAGTTGTCACTAGTTGGTCCTCAGCCAGTTGAATTTGAGGTTTCAGGGGAGTCCCTGTCACCTGGTTTTGTTGCAGATATCACCTGAATTTTGAGTTTTCCTGACCTACTTAACTCTGTTTCTTCTTATGGGAAGATTTGAGGAGACTGAAAAACTACTTTGCTGCTGTGTCTAACCGCCCAGAATTTCAGGAGAAGACGCCTTCCTAACAGCTGTAGATTACCACCTGTGTAAGATGTTTTCATTTGGTGCAAAGTTTGAAAATGGTCAATTCAAAACATAAAAGAGGGCGTTTCAACAGTTTTTTGTCATTTTGCATAGAAACTTTGCTTAGACAATGCCTCAAATTGCTATTTTTCAGGGAGGAGCTCCCTTTGGTTTATGTTTTCTTTAAGTGTTATGACAGGGAGCTGTAAGTTCTCAAAGTAGCTGGTATTAAAAAGTTGAATTTAGAATCCATTAACTATTTCTAAAGGAGGTAATAGAGGGGAAGGAAGAAAAGAACAAAACATAGCACAAAAGTAAAAAAAAAAATGTTTTAAAACAAACCTCAATGATTATAGTTATCAAGATTCAAAAAAAACTATATTAATACAAAAATTTCAATTATCTTAATTTACCTATTCAGTTATTTTGAACACTGGCAAGAAAGAGAGATTCATCTTCCTTTCAAAAAACCAAAGATGAAATATCCTTCCTTACTTTTTTTTTGGGGGGGGGCTATTTCTTTGGCATTAGGGTCAAACAAAATGAGAAAGCAGATTATAATATTCAGGAGATAATTATCAATTAGTTCTTGAAAATCATTTTCATATAATATTTCCTTATAAGACTCCAGATATTTCTAATTATAAATTAGTCTACTTACTAAAAATTTAGTTGAAATAATTTTTGTATAGTTTCTTAATATTTTAAAATGAAGTACATGGGAAGGAGGAAAGAAGGCTGCTGGGACAGAGCAAGTGGGGGCCTCTGGCTACCATGACATCATTCTCTGCATTTTGCTCTAACTTTGGATGCTGTGGTGCATCCATCGCCCAGCACGAATGTAATTAGTGTCTTCAACACTAACAGGAGTAGGTGTTGCTCCTGCAGCCTCAGGAGCTTAGGTTTCTCCAGTCTCCTTAAAGGGAGTTGTTACAAAGACTGAAAAGAATGGCTGGTAGTTAACTCTGTCCAACCTTCATTCTCCCAAGAGTATAAACTTGATTCCATTTTGACTCGAAAAAAAACTGCATTTTTCCCACAGTCACTCACCCAGTTTAGGACTTTTGTACCACTTCTTTGTAGTACCCTCCAGAAGGCACAACTCAGGTCCTGCACTTGGCACTCCTAGGCTGGAGCAGAAGCCACTTGCACAGCCAAGCGCCATGTCCCCAGCTGTGTGCTACAGCGCACAGTTCTTATGGGCATTAGCACCTCTGGGAGAGGCAGCGCTTTACACTAGAACTTCCTCTCTGCATTTTGCTTTATTACGAAGTCTCAAGCTTTCGCTTAGACATAGTGCTTGTGTGTTTTCACTTGGATATAA